CGGGGACGCTTTTTAACTAAAGTTCCTTCATCCGGGGAAGAATTTTTTAAAAAGGAAAAAAAAAAAAACATAAAGGAGGAGAAAGGAATTTTAATACTATTAAATGCTCTTTTCTTTCAAAAAACAAACACAGAGGCAATTTTTCAAAGCCCGCTCCCCGATCCTCCATGAAATAACCTTCCTCCCCCCGCTTTTATTTTTGAAACGAGCCAAAATGGTTGTTTGAAGTAACAGTCAGTCAACTTGGAGAGAGATCGGGGAGGGGGGGGAGTCAAGGAAGGAAGGGGAAAAGGGGACCAGCCATGGCAGATCCCAGAATTAAGCAGTGCTTGGAAAATGAATAAATACATAAATACCTAAATGCCAAGAGGCTGCAAATTCATTTCCTTAATGAAGGGCATTAGTTGATTAAAGGTGACGCTGCTAGGATTCAGCGTTTGGCAGAAGGAATAGTTGGAAAACAACGACTGCACCCAAGATCTGCTCTATCACATTGAAGCACAGGAGGGAGGGGAGATAGTCCCAAACAAAGGAACAAAAACAGATCTCTGAACCACTGTCCTTTAAGCTTTGCGCTACACTGTGGACAAATTAATGACCTTCATAAAGTATCCCCAACAACACAGTTGGGCCTTGAAGGTGCTTCTGTCCTCCTTGTGCTCCTACTTTATGGTTTTAACTTGTGTCATTTGTACTTTCGTGGGTTCATTTACTGTAACAAGCAAATAACACTGTTATTTCTGAACTGAGAAATAAAAACGGAAGTCTTCCGAGCAGGACCAGTGCTTATGAACATCAGAAGTGTCTTTCTGGACCAGGTCTTCAGCCCACCTAGTCCACCTTTTCTCCGGATATATTTGGCAGGCTCAACACTTTCTTTAATGAGCATAAGCAGCCATTTGGGGCCACTGACATTTTGGGGGAGGAAATGCAAATTGGGTTACGCCAGGATTCTATATTTTGCAGTTGCTGTTGCTTCTGGGTGGGCTTTGCGTGTGCGGGGTGTTGGGAAACTCTGGGAAACATTGCCGAGAGGTCACCCACAATGTGCTCCTGGACCTCTTGTCATCTTTAGATTCAGAGGCAAAGCTGGATGCTCACCCATCTGCGTCTTTCAGGGACTTGATCAGAGTTGAAAACACATCATGCTCTTTTCGGAGAGCTTCAAGCATATCTGCATATTCGGATTCCTTTGTTCTCTGGGTTTTAAAAAAAAAAATAGCCTGTTTATCTTAAGCAAAATGGCAGATGGTTTTTGGGGTTGCCCATTTCAATCAGCCCATCTGCAGCACATGGCAAGGATGGCCGTTCTAACCAAAGGACGTGCCACCGGACCACTCTGAACAACACCGATAAACTCCGCAGCATTGTCTCATCATCCTGCAACAGGACCAACCCAGCTACTTGTGGTTTATTCAGCTGAGTAAACACAGTCAGGGGACACCACTGTCAGACCCCTGCAGGTCAACCTATCCGCTATGTAAGATGAACGGGGAAATTTTAAGAAAATCCTATCTCCAGCCCATGGAGAAATATGTTACTTATTTTTTAGATGATATCTCACTAGAATCAAATACGGCTCTCAGCAGGATGAGATGTTCTGAACAAGATAGAGCAAATCCCCCCATTTAAGGCATCTTCTCACTGGGCTTAGGTTTTATGACTAACTCTAAAATACCATCTAAATACAACATGGGACACCAATTTCCCAGGAACTTTTTCTTAATTGGGGAAAAGTTCAGCAAAACAGGCCAAGCCTACCTCTAACTCATGCATCATTTTGGTCACCAGCTGCTCAGACTGGACTGCGCACTTTTCTTCAATCAAGATTTCATTCTGCCTCTGGAGACTCTCTTTATCTTTCACCAAGCCTTGACACTTAGCAGACCATTCCTGCAGCGCCAAATCTTTTTCCTTAACGACCCCATCAAGAGTCTGAGCAAAAACAAAACAAACGGTCCAGACGCGTTAGTTGTATTTAGCAGGTGGATCTCCAATAAGAAAGGCATTTTCTTTGTCTCTTTATTTGAGAAGACCAAAATAATTGAGGTCAACCTTGGCACATCTTCACAGTTCCACAAAAGGAACCTTGTGAAATGCACCACCGTTTTGCAATATCTTCAAAAGCCTTGGACCATTCAAGAAAATCAGCAAGGTTGAGTTAACGAAGGGGGAAAAAAAAAATCAAACAAGGCCATTGACTCTTAACTGACACCCAGCCTTCCACTTCACACAGGTTCTCCTACCTGCAGAAGCTCATCCTTCTGAGCAACTCTGTCTGTCAAGCGTGTGATGACCAGTTCCTGGTTCTGCAGCTTCTGATCCCCTTCGCTCAAGAGGACACCGTAATGATGCTCAATCGCCTTTTCTTTCTCAGCCATCTCATCGTGAGTTTTTTCCAACTGGTTTCGAAGGTCCTGACCACGGGAGGGAAAAAACAGCACAGACACACATTGCAAGACACACATTAAGTGAATTGAATAAAAGAGAAAAAGAAAATACAGCATCCACAGAGTTGTCCAGAAATGCTGTTTTTCAAGCACCAGATCATGCTGAGGTGAACTTTATCACAGTTTTAGAAACCTGGGAGATCTAAAACCTTCAAGCATTGGATGCTATTTTAATAAGGACTTCACAATTACCAGAAATGTTAGACAGGGCACTGCAATAAATAAGATTCAAGTGCAGACCTTCCCCCTTTTGTAGCATCGCATCACTCATTGCACCAATCCCTAAATATATCCACTGACTTCAACGGCATTAATCATACAGTTAAGAGTTCCCTGGAGTCGGGCGGCCAAAAAATTTAAATAACTAAAATTATAAATATCTTATACGTTAAACAAGTTAAGTCTCAGCACTGCACTGAACCAGCAATACCATATACAATACCTCAGGCTCCATGATGGAAGAATAACGGGGTACTGACAGATCATGAATTTATCCCAGCTACATAATCTGAATTAGCAGATTGTACAAGATGAGTGATTTCACAGACTCTTCTTGCATCATGTTACTGTTTAGTCTTAACTGAAAGATTTTTTTCTTCCTATGGATTGGACTCCAATGGAACATCCCAAACTGTTCAGCATCACAGCGCTTTGAAAAAAGTATAATGCTGTCCAGGCAATGGCTTATACTTTCTCCTTTCTCCATCTCAGGCGTACTTTCTACCAAACATTGCCTGATCTCCCCTATGCGACATTAATAACCATGGAACTTCAAAAAGGAACAGGAAAGCCACGCTTCACAAAAGCCAGATGAGGGTCAAAGACGGTCCCCTCCCTCTTTGCTCAAAGTTGAATAATTAAAATATAACACTCCCTTTCTTTTTAAACTTGAGAATGGGACAAATTTGACCCAATGACTCCCCAGTACATGCACCTAAAAGACCTTTAGGTTAAGATGAAATATATCACAAAATAATTATTTTGGTAGCCTTGAAGGAGTCTTGAATTTGGGGATTCGTCTACAGCTAAATCTCTGTTTGATACATTCTATACGATCAAAAATTCACTCCATTTCCCTGTTCGGTTTGTAAATATTTTGTTGGAGAAGCCTGATCTCATTTGAAAATCTGTATTAGCTTCTGGCTGCCTAGGGATTTCATAATAGGTGTGAAATCTGGTGAAAGCCCTGAAATGTAACAAGCACAGTAGGAAAAATAAAAATCATCTTCCACGTGTCACACAGATGTAGCCCTAGAGAATCGTGGTTCTGGGTCAAATCTGCAAAACTCGGGGACCTGTTAGGCAAGATCAAATGTGTTCTCCCCAGACTGAAAATATTTTTGCACATTAGAAATGCCAACAATGGGTTTTTTTAGATAAACGCACAGCCAGAAGCTCAGGAGTCATTCCAGCTTACTTCCCTCGCCCCGCCCCACCCCAGATATGACTTAACACTGGCCTGAAAAAGAGACGGAACAGAACTCACGAAGCCAGCATGGCACAATAATTACATAGCTGGATTGGGAAAGAGAAAACTCACATTCAAATTCATGAAGCTATTCTGTCGCATAGGAGGCATTTACAACAAACCCATTAATTAAGAACCTTACCCAACAATCTTCTCTGGATGAACCAAGTACTGAAGACACTGCCTGTTCTGCATTGGCGTCCCAAATGGCAAGTCCCCTCTCTAATTCTCCGAGCACCGTTTCTGTCACTTTTTTCCATGCAGCAAATTAAATCCACTCTTTCGGCGTGGCTTTTTTAAAATTCTGTATTACTGATGTTTTACAATGGTTTTATTGGATTTTCCGACATCAAGGGTAAGATCAAGGGCAATAGGAATATTTAATACCTTTTGGCTATGGGCGACATAAAACCCCGGTTGGGTGATGTTTGCTGTCCAACTTTAAAGAGCGGATTTCAGATTCACCCAGAAAATCCTGAAGTGTGTTCCCTACTTCAGAGGCATAGACATAGACCCCAGCTGTGTCTTGCGCCATCCAAGCCAATGTCCTCAAGGTTGGTGTCTGTTCAGGCAAGCAGTGAGATTGAATGGCTGATGGAATACACAGGTTCAGCACCTCGGACAGCTGCCCAGGTTCAGGACTAAGGACAAGACTTTAGAAACAGATAAAGAGTCCAAGTCATCACAGCCCTAGCCCCGCGCTCCCAAACCTGTCAGAAACTACAATGATTTACATGCTGATGCTCTAACAATGTGTGTATAGGATCTGACCTGGTGGTCCAACTGGAAAGACTTTCATGGCCAGATAGCAAGACTCTGCCACTTCTACAGATCAGTACCTTGCTTTTGATCTGTTTCTAAAGCCTTGTCCTTAGTCCTGAAGCTAGGGTGGCTGTCCAAGGTGCTGAACCTGTGTCTGCCATCAGCCATTCAATCTCACTGCTTGCCTGAGCAAACACCAACCTTGAGGACATTGGTTTGGACGGTGCAGGAAGCAGCTGGGGTCTATGTCTCAATGGGAGGATACTGTCAGCTTCTAGAGGCCTTGTCAGTCCTCTTCCTCACTCAGTTGATTGCCCAAACAAATAAGCATGAGCTGAAGAAAGAGTAGAAGCCTTTGGCCCCTCTATGACTCCCCATGAGCCAGGCCTACAAATTGGATCAAGTCCACTCCCAGCTGTGGAAGCTTATCATTTAGTTTGGGCCCATCCCTCTCTCAGCCTAACCTGCCCCATAGAGTTGTGATGGGGAAAAATGAGAGAAGGGAGCACAATATATGCTGCCTGGAACTCCTGGAGTAAAGGTAGAATAGAAACCAGGCAAGTAAATAAATCAGAACAGGATTAAACAAAACAAACCTTCCATCACTCTGCTCAGGTGGCCAAAGACATTCAGCAAGAGAAAGCCACATGTGACTCGTAGATGGAAGCAGGCATCTACTGCTATCCACAATTAAACCACAGGTGGCATTAACATCCCCATGAGCTTCTTGCTCACTGAAGCTTCTTGCTATCTAACAATGTATGGAGCCTGCCATCCTTACCATTATTCTATTTTAGAGATCATTTAATTTCCCAGCCAGTAGTTTGGCTTATTCCATCCTCCGAATTAGATGTAAAGAAGCAAAAATTGGTTCGGTTCATTTTGTTCGTTTTATGGACTGGCAACCCAGCAGAGCAGCTGTCTCTTGCCTCCCGTTAATAGAATGGGAAAGCAACTAAGCTTGCTCACAAAAGCTTTGCATCACAACCCCCAAATAGATTGCTGTAAGAAAACATTGCTGCGTGCTTTTAACTCCCACTTGCCTGCTGGATGGGCAACGATTCCATGTCCAGAGCTCTGGTGAAACATATTTAATGTTATGAACCAAAGGTGGCAGTCTGCACACTAATCAAACAAGTGGGGAGCTCAGATTCTGAAAATGCAGCAGGTTGTTTGATTGGACGAACAAGAAGAGACAGGGCAGGACAAAATATTGGGTTCAATTATTTTAAGATAGGGATAAAAATGTGAGTCCCAGATTGGGAACTGTTAGAAGACAAACTAGCAGGGGCAGTTCAGGTGAGCAGAGTAACTCAAGTGCTAATGGGTCCCATTTGCCTTCATGAAACGTAGTATGCAGACTTCAAACCAGCAAGATTGAGCCCCTTCTGAACTCCGATCGACAACTTGAGACTTATCTCTTACGTCAGTAATGCTCATTTCTACTTCACTCTATAAAGCAAAGTTTTGCTACTTCCAGCAAGATGGTTCAATAGGGAGATAAATAACAATGCAAGGAAAGTATTGTAGTAGGATAGAAATCTGGAATCTGGCCCCAGGACTGTTGGGAGAGTAGGTGTTTCCCCCAAGAAGGATCCCCCAGGAAGGACTTAAGTCAGCATACATAATACTTGGTCAGTCCAGCCCAGCTGGCTAAATGCAGTTCACAGGTCTACCACCCATTCAGGCATAAGTGGACAGGGCAACAAAGGTTGCATTCAGCAAACAGCACCATTGGTGGATCTTCCCACTGTGGAAGAAGGCAACAGGCAGGCTTCCAGGTTATTCATATATCCTGGATATAATTAAATTTCTGTTTGCCATCAACAATTGCCAAAAAAAGGGGGGAGGGGAGTGTCCTCAATGTTCTAACCTATCTAGAGGACAACAGGCTAAGGAGGACTGATCTAAGATTGAAATTGTGGGATTCTTGACCTGTAGTTTACTCACAGAAGGCCTGTTTGGCCTAGTGGTGAAGGTGTTGGATTAGGAGCGTAGGGGCACCTCTGTTTTAGTTCTGCTTTAGGCACAGAGGCCTACTGGGTGGCTCTGGACTTTGGGCCAGTTTCTCCCTCCCAGCCCTTAGAAGGTAATGATGGTAAATGGCTTCTGCAAAGGTTTCCTAGAGAACTACATGGACACCAGGGATCAAGCCTGATTGGAAGACAAGAGAGACTGTACTCACAACTAATTGCATGCTACTTTTTTTCTCAATATGCTTTGTTTCCTAGAGAACTACATGGACACCAGGGATCAAGCCTGATTGGAAGACAAGAGAGACTGTACTCACAACTAATTGCATGCTACTTTTTTTCTCAATATGCTTTCCTGACTTCAACAGACCCAATGAGCACATCCTGCTTAACTGAAGGATATATATGAATGGGGATCTAGGAAGGGTTCTACCTGCTCAGGATTAACATCTTTGGGCCAAATCCAAAAGGACCACCTTCCTGAGTTGATAGTCCTACCATGGACAATGATAGAAGTTAATCTTGGTTCCATTTCTGATTATTTTCTATCTACTTGAAAACCAAACAAAAAATAAGCTCCATTTATTGAAAAATGTACTGCCTGCGTTCTCAAATACACCCCAGAATGTGTTGGACTACTGCAGGAACTCTCTCACAGCTGTTGAAACAACACAATGAGAAAAGACCCATCCCTCATCTTCTAGACTCCCCTACAATCAATTACAATCCAAAAGATTTATCCTTTGGGCACCCTTGGTTATAACAGAATATTCAAAATTAAAACCTGTAGAATAAAACTGTCAACTCAGATTATCGCAAGGTGGCTCTCCTGAAATAAATACACACAAGCAACACACAGAGAGAGATATATCTGGTGCACCTGGCTATAAACCTATGGAGCTCACATGCCACTGGTAGCTTTTCATCACTACTAGTGAATTACACAGCTGTCCGTTCCAGCCCAAAGATGTCCCAAATATTTCAAAGTTAACCCTTTTAGATGTGCCACCAAATGGTAAGTCTTCTACCGTGCCCACCTGAGCACATTCCAATTGCTTGTGGGTTATTTAGTTTGGGTGCACTGATGCCCCTTCAATCATGAAACTAACTGCCTACAGCCCCATCCTCAAACAATATTGCCTTCAGCAAAGTCAAAAGAACAATATCCAAATATAAAGCCAATATCTTAATCCATAATTCCATTCCATGTTCGTTAGATGGCGTCCCCATTCATTCCAGGGAAACCTTTCATTCTGCCAACTTGAATGTTCTTTGGAACAGGTGAGTTTTCAGTAGCTTCCTAAATGGTAGGAGTGAGGAGACAGCCAAAAAAATGGCCTGTCTCTGAATTTCTAGTCACACTCCCATCGTTCTCTGCAGGAACGCCTTGGCTGGGCAGATTCAACCTGAACCAAGCCATGATAACCAGCACCTTGAATTGCACCAAGATTACAACTCACGTCATCCCCATTCAATACAGACAAGCTAGTGGGGAACGATGGGAGATGCAGTTCAACCCATTTGCAAATCAAGAGGTTGGCTGAACACTGGAACAGCCTCTCCTAGGCGACCCCACAAAGGAGAAGCAGCAGTCACACTGCTGCCTACTTTTATACAAGTAATACCACAAAGCAATCTTCATTTCGGCAGGCTGGGTGAACTCTGACTGCACAAATATGGTCCTCAAGCTATTTTTAAACTGAACTTTAGTCATCTCCACTTTGCTGCCACAAAGAGAGGCCGCTGAAAATCTATAGGATTGAATTAGCCATTCTAACTCGGTGGCACCACGCTAACTCCCCACGGAAGCAGATTTATGATGCGCTCCTGGCCCAGCAGCCATCCACGCGTACATCTTTCCATCAGTGACAATTCATAAAAAGACCAGTGCAGAAAATAAAGGCTGAGGGTATGAGGTGGGGGACACCTTCAGTTGGAACAAGCAGCAATGGGTTCATAGTCAGATCCTTGTTAGTTCACAGCCTGACCTGAGCTGATGACACTAGTGATGCAATGCAGAACAGAATGCATAGAAAGATGGAGAAGAAGACACAGAATTTATCTATGTTCCAAACACACACTTTCATTATACAGTATATATTTGAAGACGACTCTGGCCCACTCACTCCACACTCTCCTCCAGAATAAGCAGGCTATCCAGTCACTCTTATCTAGATCCTCTTGCAAACAAGAGGAAATAGAAACACATGGTTCTCCAGATGTTCCTGAAATGCAATACACTGCAGTCCAGGTCAACAGTGAAGGATGCTGCAGGCTCTACATCAACAACATCTGGAAAGCCAACATTCCCCCAACCCTGGACTAATCTCATCAGGAACACATTAGGGCAAAAATGCTGTAGTGTTACAACCAAACCACAACCTGGCTTGTCACCCCTCTAATAACCCTGCATATGGAAGCCAAACCAGGAGAGGCAACAAACCAGAAATCTCAGTTTGGATGCAGTTCCAAGCCAAGGACAGGCAAGTTTCTGCAACTGAGGGGGGGAGAGTGCAACTTTATCATCAGTTTTTAATTATTTTTGGCCCCTAAAGGCCAAAGCATGACTTCTCCAGAGAGGTGGGGCCAAAACTTTCAACCCACTTTTCCAGAGCTTCATTGGGGAAGTGTTTTTAAAAGAGGAAAAATTAGGCAGACACAATTGCCCAAGTTCAGCAATGTGATTCAAGAAGCAATAGATCTAGAAGGTCTGTAGATCTGGAAACCCCGCAAATGTTTCTGGGGAGCCTCAAGTGGCCCCAGGACTTTTTGTCTCTATTCCAAGCTATTCTGCCCACCCCTTCGTTCTGCTGTTTTGCACAGACCAATCAAGAAAGTTGGGTATTTCTCAGGGCATCTGCTCATGAAAAATAAGCCCAGATTTTCTGTGCCAATACAGACATTTTCTTCTTAAAAACAAAAACAAAGAAAAAAAAGCAATTCACGTTATGTACAGCTGGAGTTTAAAAAAAAAAAAAAACAATTTTTTCAAAGTTCATAAACCCAAGGATAATTGAAAGCTCTTTACATCAGAAGAGAATACGGCCAGAAGGAGATGATTCAGTAAAACTGCAGTTCGGGGCCTGCTCTATTGACAAAACACGCATGCTGGCTCTGTTAATTACAGATGCTGAAAATGAGCTCCAGGCCACGATGAGCTTTCCCGTTGCCCACACCTACAAGAATGGCAGACACTCTCTCAATAGGTTTTTGCAGGCTCACTCAACAAGGGGAGGGGGGGATCAGAGGACCGGTGGGGAAGAGCACATCTGTAATTTAGTCATATATAAGTAGATCACGCAAAAGGAGGTGAAAATGCCATGGCCATTTGTGGAAAGAGATGTCCCTCTGCTGGCTTTAAGTAATATTACAGGAGCAAATCTATAGGATAACACTCTTGGTTTTGGGAATGTCTAGTCAATCCATCCCCTTCATGGATCACTGCCTTGTCGTGGCGAAGGGGTTTGTGTAACTCAGAGAAGCCGTGAGCTATGCCGTTGGGGCCACCCAAGATGGACAGGTCACGACAGAGAGTTCTGACAAAATGTGGTCCCCTGGAGAAGGAAATGGCAACCCACTCCGGTATCCTTGCCAAGAAAACCCCATTGTTGTTGTTGTTCAGTCGTTAAGTTGTGTCCGACTCTTCGTGACCCCATGAACCACATCGCGCCAGGCCTTCCTGTCCTTATTGGACACCTTCCAACCTGAGGGGCTCATCTTCCGGCGTCATATCTTTTAGCCTTTTGACATTGTCCATGGACTGCTAGGAGGTCAAACCAGTCAATCTTCAAGGAAATCAACCCTGATTGCTCATTGGAAGGACTGATAATGAA